AATAGATTCCGGAGTTATCTCCTAATTAAGTTGCAATCCCCAGCAATCGAGCCTGATTTTTTAGTGGGGTTTAAACTCGTGAATTTCTCGTTAACAACCATGAGCTGTCCCACCCGACCAATCTGTCCCCATTTAGGACAAAGGCCACCAATAACGCTTCTCCATGCAACTCGATTCTGTGCCTTTTATCTTTAGCTGTCCCCAGTTGCTGCCCATCTTCTTGATAATCCGTGTTACTTCCCTTTAAATATGTTTATAGCTGCGCGGCAGTATAAAAAAATCTTCCTATAACGTCAACATGCTTAGATCCACCCCTGCATATTGTTAACTATCACGCAAACATTGTACGGTATTTATAAATGTTAGCTATTTCTGTTTAGATAACAGTTGCGCTGTTCTTAGCTTGAGACAATCGAAACACGGGGGAAAAAACAAGTTAGCATTGCCAAATACATTCAGGAACAAACAAGTTAATGACATATCACTCTCCCGCTACCCCCAAATATTGGTTTGAATCAAATATTACAATTACATTTTATAAAATCAACACTGGTAATATGATACTGTTGATGTATGTGGTTAAAAAGCGTAATTTAAAAAGAAAATGGATGTAATTGCATTTCCGTAAGTTCCTAGGACGGTACGAGTGTATCAAGAACGGTACGGGTGTTTCAATAACGGTACGGGTGTTTCAATAACGGTACGGGTGTATCAAGAACGGTACGGGTGTTTTAAGAACGGTACGGGTGTATCAAGAACGGTACGGGCGTATCAAGAACGGTACGGGTGTTTCAAGAACGGTACGGGTGTATCAAGAACGGTACGGGTGTATCAATAACGGTACGGGTGTATCAAGAACGGTACGGGTGTTTCAAGAACGGTACGGGTGTATCAAGAACGGTACGGGTGTTTCAAGAACGGTACGGGTGTATCAAGAACGGTGTCGTGCTTCAATAACGGTACGGGTGCTCGAAGAAAAAGCAAACAATTGATTAAGTAGTGGGGATGTGGATGAAATTTTGATGTGTGTTGGCTGAATGACATGGCGTGATCGTGTGGCTAAATGTCAGCCACACGACGGCATTAGGTCAAGCATGTAATAAGGGCATCGCATTGCCGGTGGGTCACGTGCCGCGCGGGGAGCGGGGGGGGGGGCAGGTTGACGATATGCATGTGTGATGTCATGGATTGCTGGTAAAAATAACGCGTTTTCTTTTTATTACCGAATAAGTCACCATTTATTACCGTCTAAAGGCCACCCGTTCACTTCTATATACTCTTCGTATTAATCTTGAGCAGAGGTGTTGCTGTGTGGGGTGACAAGGTGAGGGGGAGGGCTGATTCCACTTTGGATCATGTTGTATCCATATGTATATAATGTAAAAAGGTTAAAATAATGGTGGGGGACTTGAGAAAATGTTACCTTAGTTAGAAATGGTGGTCATCATCACCACTGCCTTCACCCCTGCTGGGGTATGGGCCGCCAACCAAAAAAACCCAGAGTCCTCTGTTCTGTGCCATTTTCTCAACCTGGCACCTGGCGAAACCCATCTTTTTGGTTTCAGCCTCAAGGTCCCGCCTCCAGGTGTTTTTTTTTTTTTGGACGACCTGTTTTGCGCTTTCTCTGTGAGTAGAAATGGTGGTGCCTAGTCCCATATAGACAACAGGGCACTTATTGTGAATATATAATTCACGTTTTTCAAGGGGATGAAAGCAAGACTCCCTCTCTTCCCCCATTGACTTGAGTGTGGGCACCTATGCACGCACCACCCCCTCTTCCAACCAACTTTCCCTCTAATAGAAAAAAGGCTACTGTATAACGTGTATTTTGTGATGTGAACGTCTCATACAGGTATAGTTCTATATGTGTTTTACAAATTGACTGCGCGGCCGGCATGTTCAAAACTACTGCGCGGCCACTCGACCGCGCAGCTTAGAAGCAGATTTTCTTCCGGGCATATCTCCGTCTACAGCCCCCACCCACGAACGAAAAAGAATTCATATATAGAAAATTATACTTATACCAGTGTCCACCCCCCCCCCCCACCCCCCCCCCACCCGGAGAAAAAAGTCTGAAAGAAACAGTTAAGAAGGAACACAGCTCCCCACCTAAGCGCGTACCGTCATACGCAGAGGCCGCAGATCGTTATTTGATGTGACGGCTCAGTTTCTAAACGTCGCCGTCACGGCCGTAGCGAATCTGTATCGACCGCCCCCCCCACCCCTGGCACCCCTTAACGGAAAAGTGACAGCCAATCAGTATCGATCACCGCGTGATTGAACCGGGGCTGGCGATGCTAATAGAATAAAACACAGAGCTTCATTTATATTTACGGTCTTTGGTTGGCGCTGATGGCGTAGGTCTGTGTGGATGTTGTTGTTTATATGGGCTGGCGATGCTAATAGAATAAAACACAGAGCTTCATTTATATTTACGGTCTTTGGTTGGCGCTGCTAGCGTCGGTCAATGTGGATGTTGTTGTTTATAGGGGCTGGCGATGCTAATAGAATAAAACACAGAGCTTCATTTATATTTACGGTCTTTGGTTGGCGCTGCTAGCGTAGGTCAATGTGGATGTTGTTTATAGGGGCTGGGTATCGGCTTGCGTCTGTCTGGCTATAGAATAGAACCGGTTTTGTGAGGGTTAAGCGGTAAACAAACAAAAAAATAATTATTGTAAATAAACAATCAATTGGTTAGTTTTTAAGCCAATATTTAGGGTGCTGATGTAATAGTTTTGGAGTGTCTGCTTAGCACTTGCACACTGAATTCTTCCCATTACACCTTACATTCAGGCCACTACATATTATGGTACTGTGATTACACATGTATGTTCTTGTTATAACACTCTAGTACAGTCTTGTCATTACCCATTAACCCCTATGCGATTTTGCCATAACATAGATACGTCTTACCATTACATTATTGGCTAAAATTACACCCTTAAGACATGCCCTTATCCTAGCAATTATAATAAGTAAAGTTCCCTTTTGAACCTGACGGTCCATGGGACGTTTTACGTACTTGTACCCGGATTCGAACTCGAGACTTTTGGCTTAGCAGTCGTATGCTCTACCATTTGACTACTCCATCCCACACGTGCAATTATACCAGCATTTAAAAACGTTAATATAAATTTCTCTTATCTGTTTATCACCTTTTCAATTTTTATTTATTTGCATGCATATTCCAAAACAAAATATTTAAGTCTCTTTTAACTAGTTTCTCATACGCATGCACCCTGCTCTGTCTCAAGCAATACGTTAAAAACGTGAGTAGATAAAATACACCTCACCAAACATCTGTCACAGCCGACATGTATGCTGAAAGTCTGACGATACAAACTTCTCTCCAGAACTAACGCACGTCTGCTTGTAGCCAGGTAATAGACGGAAAGCTAAGCCAGAATCTGGGTGTCATAAATCTCGCGGGAGCCGAATCTTACACGGCGTAATTGGTTCGGGATAAAAATGGTGTTACTCGTATGTAAAACTTCTTACTCGTATGTAAAACTTCTTACTCGTATGTAAAACTTTCAAAAATACGTGTATGTGAGTCAATAAAAATAGATAAACATGAAAAAAAAAGTTTTCATTCGGAATAAAAATGTTCTGCCTCGTATGTAAAACTTCTTACTCGTATGTAAAACTTTCAAAAATACGTGTATGTGGGTCAATAAAAAGACACAAACATAAAAAGCCTTATTGTAAGTTATAACAAAACACACCCTTATGTAGAGGTTAATTTAACATTATACATAATGCTTCCCCTTACAGCCGACATATAAAATTCATATTGATGGTTATTTTTCTAAATAATTCTATTTAAAGTACAGTCACCCCTCAGTTATCGCGGTTAATAGGGACCAAAACCAACCGCGATATGTGAAAAACCGCGAAGTAGTGTTACCCTCTCATTTTTTAGCATACGTACATTTTTGTGTACGTAAAATATCAATAAGTTTTTAGGAAACCATATTAGTGTATATGTTAGCACTACAACATTAAAGAATATTGTCGAACATGAATAGTGTAAATAACATAAAGGTGTAAATACTATAAATTTGATAGGTGTGTTTGTGTGTGTGAACAATCCGTAATCTGCACTGAAGCCGCGATAATTTAACCGCGAAGTAGCGAGGGATGAACGTAATGTTTAAAAGTATCGCCAACTTCCATAAAGATAGTTTAGTGTTTATCTAGTCAGCCACCAACACGTTTTTACCTGGAACCGACGCTACCTAAACACTTAATTAACGCTAACTCTCTAATTATTGACGCTTCTTAACCATACCAGTAAGGGAGTACAGTTTATCGGAGGGGGATATTTTACTAGAACAGATGTTACCATTGAGATGCGTGACCATGTTATAGACAGAATCTCTTGACTTTTGTTGCAGACACGAATCACTTGAGTTATTACACATACGAATCACGTGACTTGTGTTTATATACAAGAATCACGTGATTTATCACTTACTCGATTCACGTGACTTTTTACACATAAGAACCACTTAACTTGTTACATACAAGAATCACGCTACTTGTTATATACTCGAATGAGGTGACATGTTACTTACACGAATCATTTGACTTATTACGTACACGCAGTGGCGTAGCGAGGTCGGGTGTCACCCGGTGCGGCACTTAATGGTGTCACCCTCTCCAGAGGCGTAGGACTCTTCCCGGGGACAAACTTTCGATTTGCACCCCCCTCAAACTTTCGATTTGCACCCCCCTTCAAACTTTCGATTTGCACCCCCCCCCCTTCAAACTTTTGATTTGCACCCCCCCCCCTTTCAAACTTTCGATTTGCCCCCCCCCCCCCCACCTCAAATTTTTCTCTGTATATTTTACTATTTTTTGCCTTGGTGTCACCCCCCTAAATGGTGTCACCCGGTGCGGTCCGCACCACCCCCGCCCCCCCCCCCCCCCTCGCTACGCCTCTGCGTACACGAACTACGTAACTTATTACAAAACGCAAATCTTCTATTCCCCAGATGCGGTTCATTAAAAACATTACGGGTTGGGAGGAGAAGAAACCTGCCCTGTACCACGGGCATGTGGCGTTTATAGACTTCTCTAGGTGAGTACACCACTACCACATGACCAGTTTTGTTTCTGCCGGTGTCATTAGTTCATACAAGGCCTAATGTTACTGTTGTTACCGTTATTGAATAAATAAATAAATAAATTCTATACACACGCCCTAGTGCTAATATCTCTTTCTGAGCATAGACCTTAAACCTCAGCCAGAGATTATCATAACTCGATACTCTTCTTCACTGCCCCTACCGGCGGTCGTAAAATTCCATAACTTTTCTTTTTCCCCCATAGTTTTTTTTAACGAATTGAACAAGTCTGAAACGTCATCAATATTTATGACTTCTCTTGGGGTCATCAAGTGTGAATTACTTGCTCATCTTTCGAACACTTCTCCCTACTCACTCCGCTTAGGTTATTGAGACCAAATGACTTGTTCGACAAGGGGACATTGACCCTGCATGCTTTAATGATTGGTCTCCCTTAAATCACCATTTTCATCACCCCCCCCCCCCCCCCCCACGCACACACGTATTGACACAGCCCAACAAAGACCATGAAAATATTTTTAAAAATATAATTAAAACTAATTTTAAAAACTAATTAACATATTAAAAAAACTAATTAAAATTATCGTTCAAACTAATTAAGTTCTTTTGTAAAGTGTTCATTTAAACGCAGTTTGTCCACATTTTATAACTTAATTATCCAACATTTTTTTAAAGGAACACGCTAGGTTGCCAAAAATATCTTTCTGATTGCTGCAGAGCTTTTAAAAAATTCGGAGTTTCTGTGTAAACATGCAGAGAGATTTATTTTATATAAAAAAAACTTGTTCCTATGCATCTTTGCGTGGCTCGTATATTGATTTCTCCTTGCCCATACGCCGTAATATCCAATCGGCAATTACAATGCTGTACATTTCATAAAAATCGATTAGCCTTATCTGTTCTATCGAACCTACGCCCCAAATCACTTGTGTATCTTTCTTCTTCTTGTATTAGACGTCTCGACATATTGTTAATTTCTAATCAATCGAGTTCTACTTCATAATCATTTGATTTATTAACACACGCTTTCATAATCCAATATCTGACTCATTCGCAGTGTTTCATCTACACTTTTTTCTCCTGATGGGGGGAGGGGGGGGGCGTGACACTGGTAAAAGTATATATTTTCTATATAAATTTCCATTTCGTTCGGTGGGGCGGTGACTTTCTTCTCTGGACAGACAGACGCCTGAAGGAAACACTGTCTTTCATCCATTGTTTCAACTTAACAGAGAAAACCGTTTGTTGTTGAGTTTATACAACATCTTACCTATCACATAGCATAACATCTTTCAACCCATTACACCAGGCCAACCTATCAAATCTTCCTACCTATTATAGAGGGCAAATCAACTCAAATTTTTCAAATCTATTACATCAATTCAAACCTATCAAATGTTTAAAACCGATTACTCCCGACCAATCTATCGAATTATTTTTCAACCTATTACACCAGGCCAACCTATCAAATCTTCCAACCTGTTACACCAATTCAAACATATCAAACCTCCAACCTTTTACATCAGGCCAACCTATTATATCAGGCAAACCTATCAAATCTTCCAACCTATTACATCAGGCCAACCTATCAAATCTTCCAACCTATTACCCCAGGCCAACCTATCAAATCTTTGAACCTATTACCCCAGGCCAACCTGTCAAATCTTGGAACATATTACACTAGGCCAACCTGTCAAATCTTGGAACATATTACCCCAGTTCAACCTGCTACGAGTGTCGGTGGCGACCACTTGCCCCACGATTTCCCCCCCCCCCCCCCCCTCATCTCCCCCACCCAAAGAATCTCAACGTCCATCAGAAAGACGTAGCCCCAGCCCACAGAGACGGTCAAGTCATCGCGTGAACTAATCCCATCAATTCTCGCTATCTTACACCGCATCCTATCTTCTCAAGCTAAACATTAGGGAAAAAATATTATCTGGGAAAAATGTTCAAAACAACAAATTCATCTTACTCTATCCACGTCCACCCTCCACCCCCCCCCTCCCAATTGACATATTTGTAGGTGTATTGTCAAATATGATGACATAAGTTATGGGAATATTTAAGGTGGGGGGGGGGGGGTCGGGGTGGAGATGATATTAAGTAGGGGATGGGTGTGACGGGTTGAGGGAGTAACTGGATGTTTAAGGTAGGGTGGGGGTGGAGATATTACGTAGGGGATGGATGTGAAGGAGCGGGGGGAGTAACTGGACCATTGACTTTTATTAAGCCTGGGGGGGGGGGGGTGTCGGTTTATGGCATTCTGTAAGGCGGTACACTGAGTGTGGGTAGTTTCAACGTCAGTGCTTCTAGTGATGGAGATGTGTGGTACCTCTTGACTTGATTCTGATGGCTGTATACACACACACACAACACACACATACGGAAACAATATTGCTTAACACCCCCCCCCCCCCCCCCCCGTGTCAGAATTCTGACTACGCCACTGATTTGAAGAATATGTTGACGCAAATGTCTCTTAGATTATTATAATTTTTTTTTCACAACATACGTTTTTACTTTTGTTTCTAACGAAATTCTCCCTGATGATTTTCCATAAATAAGCGATTCCTATATTGAATTTACCATTAATCAGAACGGTAGACCCGTTTGCAGCGACCCGCCTTAGCCGGGGCAAGAACATGGATAGTAAACATTTAGCATAGTTCTCCTCTCTGTCTAAGGAATGCCACTCGGAATAGATTTTGTTACTGGAGTAACAGGGAAAATGTCACCAATAGGTCGTTGTATCGACCCAGACTTTATAGGGTCTAGCTATTTGTTATGACAAGACATTGATCAGTGTGAGGGTTCTAGGTTATATTAAAATGTTAAAATTGGATGGCGTGGTCGACCGGTAGAGCGGAGGGTTGTTCACCAATAGGTCGTTGTATCGACCCAGTCTTTATAGGGTCTAGCTGTTTGTTATGACAAGTAATTGATCAGCGTGAGTGTTCTAGGTTATATTAGAAGCTCAATGTTAAAATTGGATGGCGTGGTCGCACGGTGGAGCGGAGGGTTGCTCGCGTAAATGTTTGGTGTTTGGTTTCCGGGTTCGAATCCTTAAGATGTCTCACAAGTCTGTCCAGCTGTAATCAAACTTCACTAGAGGAAAGTATAGTTAGCTGGACATAATACTGACCACATAATCATATCAGAAATATAAAGAAAAAAGTTGGACTTCATTATCTGCGACGTTTCTTCTAAGGGTAAAAAGCTAGTGTGCAACGTATATTTTTGTGTGGGCGGTGTTGTTAAAGTCTTATACAAGGAAATACGTATTTTACAAAATACCTGCACGGCAGGTTCAAAACTACCGCGCGATAGATGGAACTTTGATAGTCTGTCCTATGGAATGTCTTGTCTGAATTTATTTTTTTTTTTGTTTAAAAGCGTCAATACAAAATCTTAGCAGAAACTCCAAAGCACGCACTGAGACCTTTTTCTCTTTTGAAAAAAAAAACTGTTATTAAAACCCACTCTAACTTCTCACGGCACGACAAGCTTAACAGCTGAGGGATTAAGATTATGTCCGGCTAATTGAGTCAAATAAAATTCAAGTTAATCCTTTTTATTTAAACAGAGTAAAAATAATTTTACTTTATATTAAAAAAAAAAAGCTGAAAAGCAACGAAACAAAAAAAAGTTTCACAAAATCAGCGTCTCATTTTTCTTCCCCCTTTTATACATTTTATTTTGTGAAGAGTGTTGCGAACTGGCTTTTAATCTGATACTCCAAATGTAGATCAAATACTGGTCAGTTTATCGGCTGACCCTAGGCTTATTTGCATCCAGCTGATGACTGATATAAAACCTTTTTTTTTTAAATACATACACGGAAATTATTTCATGCGTTTTATTTAAAAAAAAAAAAAAAAAAGCAGCACGATAATCAAAGACGTATCCCGTTTAAGGGCATAGACCCACTCAAGGCCCGCTATTGAACAGGCCGGTGTCGCTTCTGTTTATCTCTGTAAGCTTGACCGGCCTGCATCCCTAACTAGATCTCACGTGCCCCACCCCACAAGTTTCCTATTTACCCTCACGTCCCACACCTCACACGGTTTCTATCTACCCCGGGCCTATTTCACCCCCCCCCCCCCCTCTCTTTGTATTGGCACGATCTATTTCTTTTATTTAAATATCCGGGCAATCTTCTGAACTTGTGACGGGCCAGATTCTTCACGTCTCGAGTGAGATTTTAAAAAAAAAAACAACATTCTCAATGTGCCCATTTGCGACTTAATGATCCGTAGAATGGAGAAGAAAAACTCTCCTATCACTAGGTAATAGAGGGATTTGTAAAAAGTAATAATAAAAACGAGTAGTGTTAGTTTATATACACAATTACTGCTGTCACTACCGAACACCCCATCCACCACTACCGAACACCCAACCTCCCACTACCGAACACCCAACTCCCCAACTACCGAACACTCTATCTCCCACTTCAAACACCTCACCTCCCACACTTCAACACTCAACATCCCACTATCGAACATTCTCCCCCCATCACCACCACCACCAAACACCCAACTCCCAACCCACCTCCCATCACCGAACACCCCACCCACCACCGAACACCCCACCCACCACTACCGAAACACCTAACCTCCCACAGCTCCAGATCTCTACTCACGTTCCTGCCTCCCTCCCCACGTCGTCAGCGGCGCGCTGATATCCCAGTCTGCCAACAGAGTCTTCTTCCACTCCCCCACAGCAGCAGGCGCCCAGACGGAGATATTCCAGGCATGTCTGAGGGGCAACCAAGCGGCACTCCACAAGTGCTGCCGTGATCTGCTGAGCACCCAATTACGCGCAGACTACAGAAGCTAAAGAGGAAAAACTAGACGGAAAACATCTATTGTTTTCTTTTTTCTTTCTAAAAGATTGTTAGGGGAGATAGATAGCGTGTCATGTCGATACTCTCATTCCGATGTGCTTGTGTTAGGGGGGTGATGAAATAAGGGAAACAACTCAATCCTTTCTT